TAACTGAAGATTTCTGCTTGGTCTATTTGATCAAGCAGAAAGTGAACTTACAGAAAAACACCTAAAAGCAGCAGCCGCATAATAACTTCAGCAATAAAGCCATTATCAAAACTCTTCCTCATCTTCGGTCCTGGTTTGTCATCAACGACACCTTCACCTAAAACCTGGAAAAAGTGAAAGATGATTGTCGCATTAAACTGAAATCATAATTGAAATACAAAGACAGAATGAAGTATCTGAGAATTCAAACAGGAACCGCCAAGATAAACTTCATCACCAACAACCTTCCACCAACATGAAATGAGAAGATATGATGGGGAATGTGATACTTCAACTGGTTAGTATTTTAAACCCAAAACAAAAAGAAAAGAAACCATTAGTGTTATTTAAAAGGGGATTTAATATTACATTTATTGCGTCTGTAGCACAGAACCCTGTTAGAATGTCCAGTTTAAAATGGTATCTGGTTTCTAGCTGGTGTATGATGGTCATTAAAAACTGGTTGACCAGTTGCATCAAAAACCAACCTGACCACCAAGTATGACCAACTAGTAATTGGTTTGTTGTAGGTCCTTAATTAATGACCACATTGGATCAGCAAGAAACCATCTACCATGTTCTAAAACAGCTTAACCTCTTTAAGATGGTATGAACAGCTAGTTGATGGTCCAAGATGGTCTATACTCCAGTTAGAATCAGCATAAACAAGCTGCCAGGTTTGGCGCTGGTCTAAGATGGTCTACAGCTTCGACCAAACCAGCTACCATGTTCCAAAATACAGCTAGATTTACCACAGCTAGATTTACCACAGTTTTTCCAGCATGGAACTCTGTTAGAAAAGCTAGTTTAAGTGGTAGCTGGTTTCTAGCTAGTGGTCATTACAAGCTGGTTGGCAAGTTACCATGTTCGAAAAACCCAACCTGACCACCAAGTATAACCAGCCAGTAGTTGTTATGTTGCTGGTCACCAACCAATGACCACCTTGGACCAGCTAGAATCTATTTCCAACCTGTTTTACCACCTTAAGATAGTATGAACAGCTGGTAGATGGTCTATAGTTTAAACCAGCATTAACAAGATGCCAGTTTGTTGCTGTTCTAAGATGGTCTACAACTTAAACCAACTAGAAATCAGCTACCACGTTTCAAAATACAGCTAGATTTAGCAGTTTTTTTTTCCAGCACGGAAGACAGGATCGATATTTCCTGGTGAAACAATCAGAGCACTAGAGAGTGTGTCACGGGAGACAAACTGATAGTTAATCTGTAGGATGTGCTGCCACCAGCCGCGCGACCCTCCGCGCCACATCTGTGACATTTGCTTACGAACATTTCCGCAAACACGACATCGCGCATCCTCCGTCTTTTGTCTGCAGTTCGGAGTTGAATACCGACCTTCGGATTCTTTCCTTTTCCGTGTAAACCGCCGCCTTGTCGGCTGTCGAGAGCAGCCACCGGAGCAGAATTTCGTGAGGTCTATCATATATATTTGACATGTCCAGCCGCAGCTGAGCGCCGTACTAGCAGCGATGAAGACGTCTGACGAGGCAGTCCATACACTGACATTAACACGTCAGTCCTTTCAGGGATGTCCGAATCGCCAAGGAATCCTTCATTTGAACCGGTTCTTTTTACTGATTCGATCGAGCCGATTCGCAGAGGCTTTGTGAATCACGCGAATTTAAAGGGAGGTTATGAATGATTGATGACTCTTTTGACTTTAGTTTAAAAACTAAAACAACATATATAAACTATAAAAACATTTTCACTTTGAAATTAATCAGAAAATTCGTTCAAATTGTCATAATTAACTTTTTAAAATCTTCTTTCACTTTATTCACTTACCCGAAAACCTGCTGTCCTCAGACCATATACTAATACTATACTATATACTTTCAAAGTATATTAAACTCCACTAAAAAGAAAAAAATTGAAATATTTATTAAACATTTTAGGCAAACCTTCTGCTATAAATTCTTCAATTGCTTTATTTGAGATACTGTTTTTTTAAGTAAATTAATGCAAAAATGAGTGATTAACCGCAGTAATATTTAGCTAAACGTTACTTTTGTGAACACAACGCGATGACTCGAATGCATCACTGAATCAAGAACGTTTCAAAAGAATCGATTCGGACATACGAGTCGTAGATTATAATGAATCATACGCCCTCCAGAGACTGTCACATGCACATTTGCACATGCAAATTTCCTTAGCCACCTGGACCCTATTCAAAGTAGGCTAAACATATTCAAAAATGTGCGACAGCGTCAATTACGACAAACTCAATTCAGATGCGGATTCAAAGAAACACTTGAACATTCATTACAGTTTATTGAAGTCAAACCAGGCAAGTCTGAAAACGTTTAAATCTGTGGAATGTTGCGTAAAGTACTCTCAGAATAAATTATGAATTCTGAAGAAATACATCTCAAAAGTTGGTCAAATAAAATACAAGAAATGTACAAAATGTTTCTAGGTTCACAAACATTCAGAAGCAATATTACAAGCATTCGTATGACACTACAATATAATGACAATGGAGTTCGTTTTTTTAATTTTTTTACTTTTTCTTTTTTTAGCTGTCGACTATGTAGTTGATCAAGCATCATTCTCTTACATAATGCAATCACATTGGCTACATAACATAGCCAAAGAAATTTCTATCCATGAGTAGTACATCATTAGAAAACTAGGAGAGGACATACATTCTACCCAAGCCATATCATTTAGGATAAGTTTTATTCAGTTGAGTGTGTAATGTGATTCAATGCGCATGGTGAAAAATATTACAATATCACATTAATCTTTACACAAACTCTGTAACTCAGTAGCAAGAATTAGTAAACAGTCTATTTAAAAGGAATGTGGAATCAGTACACAGAAATCAAAGTGTAAGCTGGTAGGACACCACCTTTAGTAAATTTAGTTAAGCAACACAAAGAACATGCTCGGATAGCACAAAATGATAAAGACAACTTCAAATACACATAAAAAATTTACACAAAGTACAGTGCACTGACACCAAACACTGGAATCAATGGAGGTAATACACTTTTAACATTTGATGCGGCAAAACCAATATAGCAACAAATCAATTAGTCAGATCAGTGACTGAACCACTGCATAAACAGAAAAGGAAATTTCCACGAGGGTTCAAATAAGCCGTTCCGAAAAAGTAATTGGCAATTTCTAGTGATCATCTATATCTGATTAAACATGTAAATGAAGGCCAAATAAAGAAAATAGAAATGAAAGTATAAGTAAAAAAATTATAGTACCAACAGACCAGGCAAAACATGTGTTTTGCATCCTGCCAACTGCATTTTCTTGATAATTTTCATTATAAACGTAAGGGCAAATATTGGTGTTTCAGGAACAAAAGTGCCTATGACCTCTAAAAAAATAAAAGTAAGCTATATAAAAATAAATGTAAACTATAAAAATATCACATATCAGAACATAACACAAAAGTATGGAAGCCCTTTTCTGCCACAGAATAATAAAATTAAAAAGGTAATTGTGACTTTCATTTCATAATTCTGAATTAATTTGAAAAAAAAAAAAAAAAAAAGAAAGTCAGAAGTTTTCCAAGTTTACATCTCGCAATTCTGTCCGAAAAGTGAGATAAAAAGTCACAATTTTTTTTTATTCCATGGCAGAAACAGGCTTCCACACAATAGAGACCCAAAATGCCTTCCATGTTTCAAAGACGTAGATGTAAGTAAGAGCATACAGTATTTTCTTAAACATACAAATCTCAGTTTGGCAGTCAAATCATCAGAATTCCTTAAATTTGCTGTCGGATGCAAGAATCCAGTACAAATATCCACAAATAACACTCCATTGCGAGACAAAAAAATAATAAATACAGACTTGAACAAAGGCAAAATGGACACGATTCAAGTAAAATAAAAACTTGCAGCGCTTTCCCTCCTTTCCATAAAGTGACAAACATACTGGTGGTGCCATCACGTATAATACTTGTACTGTGGTCTATAAAAACGTTCATGTGAAATGACTAACGAGTAAGTATACAAAGCCCATGTGCCGAAGCCGTCGATTCTTCATCCGTGCAAACTGTGGCACAGCACGACCTCACAGCTACCAGTAACAAGAGAGTAACAGCTCCACTTTACAGCACAGGCATCAAAGCTATTGAGTTAAGTAGATTCACATCAAGTACAGTCACAGAAAGGATTATGCTACACTCTGCCGTAAATCGTACAGCCCTCCCACGTTACATGACAGTTCGGTTTTAGCGAAGTAGCACGCGTTAATACAACCGAACGTAACCGATGAGATAAATGAAAGTGTGCGGTTAAGGTACGGTTTGATACCTTTGAAATGAGTCTTGACTGTACAGCAATGTACTAGGTGTGAAATATTAATCTCAACTACAGAAAACAAAACGTAACAGTAAATCTGATTATATTTACACTTCGGAAACACAAATGTAAACAGAAAAAAAAAACTGAGAAAAAAGAAAAATCACATTAATTAAAGATTGTACTCACAGTCTCACAACTAACGCTGCTCAGAAAAATTATATGGGTTCCTCGTAGTTTATATACACACTGGCACCTGTTCAATACTCACAATGGTAAATATTTGTTTAAGACACATGGCAGTGTTGGAGTATATGTGGCTTAACACTACACCATCAAACGTTACCGTTTGTAAACGTCAGAAATGATCTTCTTGGGTGACCGATAGTTATTTCTAACACTAATAACTTTGAATTATGCTGCGTCGTTACTCGATGGAACGAAAGATGAAGGCAATACAGTACCGGCCAAGCAATAATGCAATTTTGCTGACAAAAAGGGCACATTTACAACAATACGATTAGTGATATCAAATTGACTAATACAGATGAATAATACTGTACATTGTGAATGGATGTAAACATCGACATAAATATTTTAATGGTTATATATCTTACAAATCACAAACTCACTGGAATGGGGTGGCAGTTGAATAAACCTCGTATGTCTTTTGAATCAATTTTTTTTTTTTAGATGTTAGCGCGACAGGTTCATATTTAGAAATGTAGTGAAATCCTACCGGCGAGGGGCGAATGGTTGCGCCCGACACATATTACAACAGTCTTTGCTATTTACATGAGGTACAGAAATAAAGTTCTTGGTTTAAAATGTTTATAGAGTGTTTTTAAGTACCATAGATGTGGAAACTGACTTTGCCGCTGAAAGGCGTCGTTTTAACAGAAGTTTGGTTTTTTTTGCCGAAATTGAGCACATCTGAAAAACAGTGAGAATTAGCTGTGAAATTTTGCTTATAAATCCAGAAATGAGTAGCTTACATTGTTATATAAGCCCGTATGAATTTGACATGAGGCCGTAAATTGTGATATGTTCAAAAAATTCATACCAGCTGCTGTAGATTTGGAATGAATCAAACCAGTTTATCAAGTCCACTTGGTTTAATTGAAAAGTGGACCAGCTAGCTGCATGTATCTACTCTACGGTTCGTGTAGTTTGAACTTTCATGTACTTTGATGTGGTTTGCAATGCTTCCTCGGTGCTTTGGGCCAATCACTCTCCCTCTCCCCCCTCGTCATCGTCGTCTTCCTCCTCATTGCCCTCCCCCTCCTCTCCGGCTTCGAGCGGTTCCTTCTTTCCAGTGACCTGGCTAGGGTTAGCCTGAGGCCCTAAGGGTCTCTGGGGATCGTGGTTTGAGCAGCAGGGCCGGTTGTCCAGGGCAGACACTAGCAGCTGTCCTCTCTCGTGCTCTCGGCAGAAGGAGGCGGGGCAGAAGTGGCAGAAGGAGGCGGCGGTGCGCTGGCACACACTGCACTGATGCCAGGGGCATTCCCATCGCCCTGACACACAGAAAATACAAATCAATCATACAACATCTAAGTGGCTCAAGAGAGAACTTCTGCAGCCCTCATATTGGCAATTTCTTTCTAATTAATAGATTAAGATCTGCAACATCTCATACTGTCAGTTGGATTAACATATTATAGGATGTAGGGTAACTGGGTCAACAGCGTATCAGAAAAAAATAATATAAAAATCTAGTTCAAAACACACCAAATTCTCAGAAATGGGCTCTTTGTTTTTTTTTTTCCTCAAAAACTTTATACCATTTTCAAAACAGTTTTAATTGAATGACTAAAAATGTCATGTGGAGTGACCATCAAGTAAAAGGACTTTTCCTCAATTTCCTCACACCTTGAATACTTGCAATTGTACATATTCTAAACATTTTCAAAAAAAGCTTTTAAACATTTTTCTAGCTGTAAAGTATTTACACAGATTATTAATTCATAATTTTTGGGGAGTTGCACCACATGATATTTTACAACCTGAACTAACCTAGTTTTGTCATAAAAAGGTCAAATGATCTGACATTTTAAGAAACTTTGACAGAATTGAGGATCTGCATCATTTCATGTTTTTTTCTTTATGTTGGTTGCACCACATGACATGGTTTTGTCAAAATGCAGAAACACTGAATAAATAAATTTTATAAATCAAAAATAAACAATTTTAAATATTATTTTAAAACAGCTACAATATTTTTAACAAAACTGCTGTTTTACCTACCTGTTTTATGCCAAACTACTCGTTTCAAGAATTCATTCTTTTTTTTCTTCTTCGTTACGATATCAGGACAGCTTAAATATGCTTTATATATATATAAAAAAATTAAATCATTCTCATCATTGAAGGGGTGTGTTCAAGGCATTTTATCCATGAATTATTAGAAAAAATTGCGATGTACTAAAAAAAATTGTAACTGTGTAATTTCATTGACCCGTCAATAGATGGTCCATTCTTTCTTTTTCTTTGTGGTTCTCAACCTTTTAGGCTTTAAAGTTTAAATGTTGTACATCTTCAGTTTTAGCATTTTAATTAAGATTAATATTAAAGCATTAATGCTATGGAAATCTAAATCCCATCAAGCAAGAGGCAAAATGTGGCAGCATTACTACGAAATTACCACAGCTGACAGGAAGAGCTGGAGTGACAGACAGCACGCACCGTATGGAGGTTTGGTCAGGTTGAGGCAGAGGAGATGGTAGGCCTTCGGACAATCCTTTTTGTCACACATGACCAGCTCTCCTCCCTCTCCACAGCTGTAGCAGTAATACTCGTGGGTCTGTTTGCTCTCAGTCTTCAGCTTGCGCTTCTTGGGCTTGAGCTTAGCATTGCGTACCTTCTCTTCTCTCTCCATAACCACTGCACTCTGCAGGAAGTAAAACAAGGTGTCAGACAAGAGATTGATACGATGATGATAGATAAAGAAATACAAGTACAAGTAACAAAGAGAAAGACAAAAACCTAGTGTTAAATAAAAAATTAAGTACACTCAGCTATAGGACACTCTAGAGAATTGTCAATGGTTCAACAGAAAATGGTTAAGCACTTCACGTGCTTCGGTCTAATTCAATTAGGCTTTACCTTGGGCTTGACTCCAAGAAAACCACTGCAGTTCTCGGACCCACAGTGGCATGATGTCCTCCCATTACCCAGACAGTCCAGGTTGTAATTAAAGGTCAGCTCCATGTCTAAAAAAAAAAGCATGATTATCTCAATTAGCTTCTAAACAAACAGTGTCCTTTTTTCAAAGAAAATGCTAATTGTTCTTACCAGCAGCGATATCACACAAGGTAAAGAGCCCTATCCGAACATCTCCATTTATGGTCCACTTCTGAGTCTCACAGTTGGGACTGCAGCTGTGGTTCATAAAGCGTGACAAGTTCCCTTTGGGTCCAGCATCAATCACACGGTCCTGAGAAGCACAGAAGGAGCGACTTTAATACAGCTGAGATGATGTTATAATGTTATATACACGAAGTAAACATGCAACAGTGATACCTTTGTGAGGGTCAGCATGTAAAAGTTGGTCACATGGTTCTCATTGGCATGTCTTATTCGTTGCTTGCACTCCTCGGAGTCGATCAGTTCGCCAACATACTCCATGACAAAATCACCCTAAACACAACCAACATCCCAAGATCAGTAAAAAGAAACATTTTATGCAATATAATGAATAAAGGTCTAAACTAAGCAGTTTTTCCATCCAAATGTTGTTCACTGATTATTTTTGACATTCCCAAAAATGTCAGAATACCCGATTGAATGCCTACATACAATTAATAATAATAATAAAAAAAATAGATGCAGCCATGCAACAATATTATTATATTATTTCAGATTTGATCTGTGTGAAGGAGTCTTAAAGCTAGTAAAAAAAAAAAAGGCACTAAAAAAAAAACAAATTAATTTTGATTCTGGATTTTGTTACATGGTTTTGTCATTATCTTTAAATTTTTTTTATTTGACTATTTATGTTAATTTTTTTTAGTTTCTATATCTTTCCAGTTAGTAATTTTAGTGTTTCAACTTAAGTTAGTTGTCAAGCCAATATTTCTCATTTTCATTTATCTAATAGTTCATTTTTAGTGAACTATTTAGTTCATTCAGCTTTATTTCAGTTATCAAAAATGTTTTCAATAGTTTTAGTTAATGATAGTAACCCTGGAGCATAACTATAAATATTTATAGTCACCACAGAAATTTATAACAAGTCTTTCTGAACTTTTCTCAATTACAGCTCCAGGCCATTAGTGCTATTAGACTTCATGCTCAGACATCCAACGCTCACCTTTTTGAGGTCCTGCTTGGTCTTTAGGCCCCATCCTCGGCCGGTGGTCTTAATGACCTCAGTGTCGGGGTAGAGGCGTTTGGAGAAGCACTGGTTGTGGCAGCGGTCACCTGCAGGACAGACCTGTGGGTGGCATTCATACTGCAGCATGCGGTTCAGGCACTGAGAGTCCTGGCTGCACGGACGCTCATCTGTGGGTTTGCAGTTGCAGCGGGGGATCTCTGAGAGGTCAGCGACGTGCACCTGCACCTTCCCAACTGGCTTATTGGACTGAGGTGAGAAACATGGACAAAAATATAGAGTTTTAGTTTGTTTCAATATAATTTTAGTTTTCTTTGCAAAGTTGCATTGTAGAGAGATTAACATGAAAGGAATGGGCCATATTATGGTACCACACAACAGCAGAGAAATAAAAGTTTTGAATAAAGGATTTGAGCTACATTCTGTACCTTGATAAGTTTGTATGGTGGGGGTCTGCGAGAGTTTCGCTCCTGTTCGAGGGCCTCCTTAGTTTCTCGCTGTGCTTTTAACTCCTGGAACCTTTTTGCTGCCTCCTCAAGTGCTTTACATGCACAAAAATACATTTAGAAGTCAATTTAGCTTAACCTTTATTGGGGACGTGATACTTACATTGACCATTTAATATAACAAAACAAATGAAACTCCACTGAATTGGTCTGGTATCTTACCTTTTTTAAACGTCTTATTGATGCCAACTTGTCCCTCTGCAAAGTTCTTATCGCTCTCAACATACGGGAAAACTCTGCCCTGGTTTATCCAGTAATAGTCATGGGAGCCAAAGAAAAAGACTGGGAAGTCGCCAATGTCATGCTTCAAGGTCTGGATGTTGGAGGGAACCAGGCGAGGGTTGCATATCTCAGCTGGCCACCACCTACACATGGTTCAACATCTACATTAGGTTTATCGCTTATTCATTGGTCAGTAAAAATTTAGCCTTCATCTTGTAAGAAAACAAACCAAAAATACTGATGATGCAGGGGGGTGTCCAAATATTTGTGTAATCAAAAGCTTTATAAAACTAGAATGTTCCTCTGCTTGTACTATTTGCTACTTAATAGCAATAGCAAAAATCAATAGCAACATCACAGCTATGACACACACACACAAGGTTATTTTAAAAGAAGGGATGACCCATTCCATCCAGTTCAAATAAGGAAATACATTAACACAACAAAGGATATGGTTCTCAAAAAGCCATTTATTTTGGACTTAAGGTTATTTACACAGCACTGTGCCTGCTCAAATTTAGCGTAAAGACGTGGTGCCGCATAAAAGCCAGACTAAATTATGCCTGCTCAGACCCAAGTATCAAATTATACAGCAGTAATTTGTGTAAATGCATTCATGCCACCTCTGAGCAGCATTAAACTGTCTGTGTAAAGACACTTAAATGCCACTTCAGATGAGCTTTTGTGAAACCTTAGCAGTATACATTTAATGGTATGAAGGTATAAAGTAAAAATTGCTGTGTAAATGCATTTACGCGACCTTTGAGCAGCATTAAACAGTCTAAAGGCTTGTTCACACCGAGACGAATATCGCGCGCGATTATCGCAGACATTTAACGCCTCGTGACTAAACAAAGGGCACCAATGTGAGTGTGCACACCGACGCACAAAATGCGAGGCGTATTTTTGGTTTGACACGCCGCGTTAAAAACTGTCCGACCAATGAGATTGGTGCTTTTGTTCACGTACCTGGAGCTGCTGAAGTTATAGTAAAACACGACTTGGTGGCGCTCAAGCACAAAACGGTCTTGCCGAGCACACATTGATATCTAACGATGAAGAGGAAGTAGACCAAGAACATGCATCGAGGCAAGATGAATGTAGAGCTGCTGGTCTCATTGGTGTCTGAACACAAAGGGCTTTATGACAAACGCGACAGCGACTACAAAAATCTCAATAAGAGGGAGTTGTTATGGAGAGGAATTGCAGATCAAATAGGATTCGATGTGTACCGGGGTATTTCTGTTTTTCATTAAGCGCCATCTAATGTCAGGGAGTGAATTTGCACGTTCACTCGGCTCATCGCCAGCGAAAATCGCTTGGGTATGAACACAAAAGATGCGTCGAAAAACGTCGGTGATAAGTGTGCGCGATAATCGTCCCGGTGTGTACGAGGCTTAACAGTCAAAAAAATACATGTATCAAAAGACTGAAAAATCAAACAACGCCTCTCTGTGAACTCAAGTCAGAAATATACTGCAATGATTTGTAACATTCTTAGATAATATATTTTGAATTATTAATACTTCTATTATTACTTTTTAAATATGATTTATTTTTATATATTATATTCTGCATCAGACGTTGTGAGAAATAGCTTGAATTTGTGGGAAAAAAAAGAAAAGCTTTTTGAATATTTTATATTTTTGTGCCATTTAGTCACATTAGACTCGACATGAACACACCTTTAGTTTAGCAAAAGATATCTTAGGTCACTAAGAGACTTTCAACAGTTCCACGGACGTACCTGTAGTTGCCCAGCTTGACCCAGACTATCTGCTTATAGTGGGGCTTCTTGCCCGCTCGGCATTCCCCACACAGCCACGTCCCCTCTGGCATCTCCATGTTCAAGCACTCGGGGTGGAACGAGGCGGGACAGGCCTCGCAACACAACAGTCTTCCTCCTTTTTGACAAGCACACACACGCACATAAACACACACAATCGAATACACAGGCCCACAGTATCACCACATGCTTGTCCATTCCCAATAAGGCGGTATTCCACAAACCTGATCCATGAGCATGTCAGAATCAGACAGTTATGTGTCCTCTGAGATCGATATACGTCTCTGAAATGCTCCAACATATGCCTCTAGATTCTAAATGCCTATTTGAAGTTCAGTTTGACATGCTCAAAGACATGGTTTGATGACTAACACCTTTCAGCATTATGTTAATGTGCTTTTTTGTGCCGGGTGATTTAATAAGCAGCCAATAGTGAATGATCAGAGGCGGGCACTACGGGAAACATGCAGTGATGCACACTGACTGATTGTCCGCATTAACATCACCTGCAGTACACTAGCAGACACGGAGCAAGTATTTTGGATGGTGTCACTTAAAACGCTTTGTTTGACTGACAAGAAAAATATGGCAAATAAGCACTGATGGACAATAAAAGATGGAGCACAGCAGTGAGTGCCCACTTTTCCAGCCACTTTGGTTCCGAAAGCATTTTTCCCGATTCATTTTTTCCAGAGGGATTAAAAAAAATTCTTAAATGATGAACTCTAGTCCTGAACCAATCCAACCAGCTCTGAAATTATTCACATCTATGAACTACTCACTCCAAGAATCATTACAAATTACATAAATAAAACATAGAGAGGTACAATATAAAATTTAAATAATTTAAAGTACAAAACCTATATATATTTTTTGGGAGGTCAAAATGAAATCTGAAACTTCAACAAACATCAACGCTTTATCAACGTATTGAAGACCATTTTTCTACAGAATAAAAAAAAGGTAATTTCAACTTCTCACAAATGTATAAACTCAGAATTGAGAGACATAAAAAGTCAGTATAAACTCAGAATTGAGAGATATAGACTTGCAATTCGGAGAAGAAAAGTCCAAATTGTGAGAGATAAACTTGCAACTGCAAGACAAAAAAGTTGCAATTACCTTTTTAATTTTTATTCCGTGGTGGAAATAAAAAAAAATAAAAAATTGTGAGAAACTCAGAAGTCTGAGAAAAAAGTCAAAATTGCAAGATATAAACTCAGAATTCTGAGGGGAAATAAAGTCAGAATTGTGAAATATAAATTCGGAACTCAGATTTCTGTGTTTATATCTTGCAATATTGACCATTTTTTCTCAGAAATGCAAGGGAAAAAGTCAGAATTTTGAGATAAGTCACAATTACATTCCATGACAGAAAAGGGCTTCCATACATCAGAGCTGTACAAGTTATCTTTAAACAATTCTCTATGGACAAAATGAATGGGATTTTGACTTCCAGGACCGTGCTAGTGGCTCTATTAAAATTGCCATCCAAAATATGTTTATGTTTGGAGGGTGGTAGGGTATAATTGTGCTCAAGCAAACAGAGAAACGGGACAAAGTAATTTAGAAACAATCCAAGCAAATAATGCTAAGCCAAAGCGTGTTACGGACTCAGAATAACAAGTTACGTGACATCATAACCTAGTAAAATTCCCAGGATTCGGATACAGGCACACAAAGATTTGAATATTATGCCAACTTCTATTTTATTTCTCTACACAACTTCCCAAACTAATTTAAAATGCTGATCTGATTTAAACTAAAGAACTAAAATCTAAGCTATTTGTTGCTGCGTGTTATTTCAAGCCCACTATGTGCATTAGAAGCAGCGTGAGGGTGTAAAATTACAAGCAATAAAATGACCCCAAAAACAAACAAATAAACAAAAAGTAGCAGTAAGACAGCTGTGAAAGCATACAGATGGCAAACTACATAAACCAAGAAAACATGATTTTACCTTTCCCAATATTCTTTTTGGTAGCTGACGAAGAAGAAGGAATCATAGGTAATTTCATCAACTCAGCACGATTTGACTCAGTCAGAAGGTAGTGCGACTTAAAGGTATATGAACTTAATATGGTGTCAGTATGGTCGTGCACTAAAAGCCCTACACGAGACAAACAGGAAAAGTCATGAGTAATGAAACTACCCATGATTCCAGAAAACACACATCAGGAAAAAAATGACACGTGATTAAATAAGTAGTCCTGAAAAGAGAACAGAAAAAACGAGAGTCTTAAGGAGGAATACTGCAGTGTTGGAGTGGGAGCTTTAGGGAATGACTGGATAAAATGTAAAATATGCAATAATTGTGTCATTTGATACTTAACTGTTTTCTGCGTTTAATAGTAGCCAAATGTTAAATGAATAGTTCATTCAAATAGGCAAATCAAGTTATTTATTCACCCTCATGTTGCTCCAAACCGGTCTTTCAGTAAATACAGACTTACATTTTAGTCTGTTCCGCAGACAAATCTATCATAAGGCTTCACCAGACTTGAAGTATTGGGCACAGAGTCATATGGACCATTTTTATGATGCTTTTACATCCTTATTTGAACTTGGAAACTTCAGCCCTGATTAGGCATGGGCCGGTATGGGATTTTGACGGTATGATAACCTTAAGCAAAAATATCACGGTTTCATGGTATTGTCATTACAGCTCTAAAATGTGTTATTTTTAAATGACTGTGTAAAAAATAATAATCATAATAATGAACACAATATATTTTGGTTTTGAGCAACACACAGAATATTAGGAATAGAATAATTTGTTTATTTTTTCTTTGATTTGTTTCTGAAATGTGGGCTGTCCTGCAGCTTTTGATGTGGATGGTTGATTTGC